CCAAACAACGTGATTCCCAGCCTTTGGGGGAACTTACTGATTATCCATCCACAGGGAATTTAAGTGTTTTTTTCTTAGTAGCCTGGAACAAAATGGATAGGAAGTGAACAGTAACCTTCCGATGGGCAGTGAAACAAACTTTCAAAAATAATATTTGCTTAGAATTTTTTCTTTTTTATAGGATTTGAATTCCTTCTGAAAATTCTTTAAACTGATTTTTAAAAAAGAATCTTTTAAATAATATGTAATTTGAATAAATAAAGGAAAAAAAGTTTTTCCTACTCTTTCATAGACTCTACAAAAACAGGTATTGAGGACCCACTATGTTTGGATCCCTAAATAGGCAGGCCCCATAAGATTTTAGTCTGTGATACGTAATTACATGTCAGACAAAAACATTCGATCCATTTATTTGAAAACAAAACATTTACAATCTGATTCTCTCATTTGTACAATGTACTTAAAAGTATTTTCAGATATACTCTAAGTTTGCAAATATGCAAAAATGTAATTACTTGGATGATTTCCCACAGACGTTTGTTAGTTTTGAAGGGTTTAAAGTTTACTTCATTAAAAATGTATGAGGATGGTCCTCTCAAAAGAGACTTAGATTTACGATGGCAGCATTTCCACACGTCTAACTCCCGCTATGGACATTGCCATTAAAATGACCAATGGATTATTTAACCTAAAAGGAAGGAAAAGAAAGAAATAAACCCTTCATTAGTGCAGTTAAATAGGGAATAGTGGGCTTCCCTGGTGGCGCAGTGGTTGAGAGTCTGCCTGCCGATGCAGGGGACGCGGGTTCGTGCCCTGGTCCGGGAAGATCCCACGTGCTGCGGGGCAGCTGGGCCCGTGAGCCATGGCCGCTGAGCCTGCACGTCCAGAGCCTGTGCTGTGCAACAGGAGAGGCCACAACAGTGAGAGGCCCGCGTACCGCAAAAAAAAAAAAAAAAAAGTAAAAGAATGAGCACAGTGCCTAGTACATAATAGCAGCTAATATTTATGGAGTACTCAGTGTTAATTCATATTAATTTGAGGATCTTCCACAACTGATGAGAATTAAATAAAGAACAGATGAGTGACACTAGTGAACATTAATTACTTTTGTGCTTCTTTTAATCTCATACTTTCCCAGAACAATTCCTTTCTTTTTTTTTTTTTTTTTTTTTTTTTTTTTTTTTCTGTACGCTTTTTTTTTTATTGTTTCCTCTGCCGTTGCGGAGCACAGGCTCCGGACGCGCAGGCTCAGCAGCCATGGCTCACAGGCCCAGCCGCTCCGTGGCATGTGGGATCTTCCCGGACCGGGGCACGAACCCGTGTCCCCTGCATCGGCAGGCAAACTCTCAACCACTGCGCCACCAGGAAAGCCCCAATTCCTTTCTTTTATTCAGAATCTTGTAATGTTCCTAATGAAAGTTGAACTTTTGTGATTAAGATTCAGAAACAGTAGTACATTTTCAAATATTTATGAAATGAAAAAAATAATTCTGTCACAGAATGGTCACTTAAATATAGTCACTTTAATTCTGCAGACAAGCCCAAAACCTCTATTTACTGGAGTGAATCTTATAACAATGAATTGTGACGGAAGTGGCAAGTGAGGTTTTTGAATACTAGAGTGTTTTCTTACTTCCAGTATTTTGAGTATTTATACTGTATATTTCACCTATTATCAATAAATAAAAAATTATCTGACACGTATTAATTAAACTCTCTTCATCTTCAGTATGTCTACAGGTAAGCAGATCTTTCTGTGGTTTGTGTCATTTTCACTACAAGATTAAGGCTTTAAATTTTAATATTTGGCACTAGTACATCTGTCAGAATTCATTTTAACTCATCCATAAACATGTCATTTGCATGTTGATTAACTGTCACAATCTCCTCTGTAACAATCTCAGATTGGAATTGCACATAAGTCACAACTGAACAGATTTCTATTAATTCCAAAACCTCATATGAAATAATTGTTGTTTTTCTGAAGAAAATCTGTAGCCAGTGTGCAAATTATACATTTTGTTTATATAGTGGATGTTTTAATTATGCATTTGTTTATACATAAAACTTGGATTTCCAAATCAAGGACTATAAATATAAAAAAGATCTAGCCAAACTAAGACGCAAACCTCATGCGATCAAATTCAACAGTTTGGCATCGGGACGCGGTAAATGGATCCACCCTGGCAATCCGACGCAGTGCATTTCCTACTGTAAGGCAGGAGAGGGCGCTCTTCCCCACAGTATTTTGGTTTAATCCTCCAGGAGCAAATCAGGTGTGAGAAGCCAGCCCAGTCAGAGGAAACACCGCACAAGTTAAAGCAGCATCTTGGCGGAGTCCTACTGGAGACCTTGAGAAACTAAATTAAACCTATCACAGCTCCGGGCGGGAGGACCTCTCTCGGTTCTGTTGAGGTTCTCAGAGATTCCAAATGGCTTTGGAGGAGTACTGAAGTTACAGTGTCCACTCAGAACTAAAATAAGGAGGGTTTCAACCCAGTAAGTGCATCCAAGTGCATTCCCAGCCAGCAATCTTAAGTGTTCTGGAGGCAACCTATACTAACTTGATGAATGCTTTCTGACTAGATTTCCCTAGGTAATTAGGGCAGCATTTACTCCTGAGTAGGGTTCTAGAAGGTGGAGGAATTCACAACTCTGAAAATGCAGTGGACATTGAATTCTGGATCCCTTCCTTCACATGTCCTTTAACAGTTTGAAATACAACATTAAAGTTCATGATCTCTGGAGAGTTGAAGCTTTGAACTATCTTTGCCCTTTAAAGAATGGTTCTGGCTCTATGTTTTGGGAACTCAACAGCTAGAATTCTCCCACATTATTTTAATCCTCCTTTAAATTGCACCATGATTGTCATGAGCCTCATTTCTTAAAGTAGTATTGATAGCATGGAAACATTTATTTATTTTAGTTAACAATGAGAGGGAGATTCGCATACTCCCAGCCTTAAGAGTGAGTGACTATACCAATAACTTTTAGGTCTATTTGTAACTGAACTGTTACCTTTAATCCTGTCCTCTGAGTTAGTTTTATGTAACTCTACATTATAGGGGCTTTGAGATGCTTATCCTTTTATCCCAGTCACTGTTATTAATGCCCAAATAACACTATGTTCTTGATTTTAGCAAATCAGTGGGCATTCTTAGTTTCAGCAATAGGCTGAAAGTAAAAACAGGGTTGACACTTAATTGTGATAGGATGAGTTAAATAGTTCACATTAAATTTGTTCTCAGAAATAAATGAAAAAAATCATCTATAAACATAGGTTATCATGTTGAAATGATACATCTTTCAATAGGTTTCTAACATTCAGAAAATATTTGAAGGGTTATGTATGTTTTCAAAGAAAAGTAAGTAAAATGGAATGAAAAGGCATTTATTGGCAAATTGACCTCCAGCTAAAATCTTTAGCTAGGGAGGCAGTTTGCGCCCTAGAGGAAAAAGCAGGAAAGTGAGGAGCCCTGGGTCCTGGGTTTACCATTAATTAGCTGTATCACTGTGATGTTTATTTCCAATTCCGAGTCTCAGGCTACAGAGTTGTCAAATGTGCAGGATGGGGCATTGCAGGTGGAAAAGTCATCTGAGGAGTTAAAATTATTCACACTTATATGGTATTTATTAGAACAAATAAAAACATATATATATATATGTATCTATATTTTTATATAAAGAAACTAATGCCTATATGAGAGATTTAGATAGATATAGATACACACACGTGGCCAGTAAGGCAATATGGTGAAACAGGAAGTAAAGGGTAAGAAAGGAAGGAGAAAAACAATTTGTGGGTAATATTGCTCTTCTATTTTTTCCTGGCAAAGTTACTTCCAAGTTACTTGAGTTAAAAGGAAAAAAAATTATGTAAGAATTATTTTCGTCCCATGGAAGTACATTTTGTTTCACTTCCAAATTGAATGAATTACTTTGACTTAACTACTTAAGTCAAAATGTCAAGGATATTTTTTTTCCAGAAACTAATACATAAATTTTACAAAGCACTTTTCCCCAACATCTTTTCAAGTTTAAAAGGCTACAGCTTTGGGCTTCCCTGGTGGCTCAGTGGTTGAGAGTCCGCCTGCCGATGCAGAGAACGTGGGTTCGTGCCCCGGTCCGGGAAGATCCCACATGCCGTGGAGCGGCTGAGGCCACAGCAGTGAGAGGCCCGCGTACCGCAAAAAAAAAAAAAAGGCTGCAACTTTGCCTGCAGTCCTACACTTGTGCACATCTCCTAACAACTGACCCATTTATTTCCTGGGTCCAAGGCTATGTCTTACGGCCCCTCCCCTTCTCCCCCCACCACCTCTTTCCCTGGCTCACTCCCCCGCCCTGACCATCTCTCCTTAGGCCCACACTGTTCTTTCCTCGAGGTCCCCTGATCCATGAGTCTCCTTTACCATCTTTCTTGATCTGTTTCTTAGTTTGTCTCTCTGCCTTTTCTATTTTTTTCTCTCCTTCCCTTTGTCTATCTCCTTTCTTGTTTCTTCACTGAGGACAACGTAAAATCGACCTATAGTTTAAAAATAAATGAATAAGATTGTGTTTCCTGTTCTAATTTCAAAATAAGGTAAATTGTTTCCGTGTTTCTTTCATTTTTTATTTTTTTGCTGTACGTGGGCCTCTCACTGTTGTGGCCTCTCCCGTTGCGGAGCACAGGCTCCGGACGTGCAGGCTCAGCGGCCATGGCTCATGGGCCCAGCCGCTCCGCGGCATGTGGGATCTTCCCGGACTGGGGCACGAATCCGTGTCCCCTGCATCGGCAGGCGGACTCTCAACCACTGGGCCACCAGGGAAGCCCTCCATGTTTCTTTTAAAACAGCAATCAAACCACAGTAATTAAAAGAAGGCTCTGTGCAATGTGTGGGTGTGCACACGCACGTGAGTGTGTGAGCGTGCACACTGCACTTGTGTTGTTAATCGGATATCTATTCGGGAGGGCAGTGCAGTCCTTCCATTAAGACAATGCAGTGTCTCTGTTTGCTCTTCAGGACCCACACTCCACCCTCCTCTCCACTGGTCACACCCCCTTGAGGCTAACCTGCCTGAACGAAGTCAACAGAGATCCTGTTCCCTCAAGTCAGGTTTAGCAAATGGGAATTCTGGGAGGATGCAGGAAGAAGGTCACTGCTCTGTGCCGGCTGACCCGCTCTTTCTTTCTGAGTTTTGGTAACTTTACTTCCCACCATCTCTTTAGCTTGGGTTTCTGCCCTGTCCTTTCACTTCCCCTTTTAATTAGATTTTTGATAAATAAACCCTCCTCAAATTATCCTAGTTCAAGTGTGTCATAGGTAGCCTGTTGGAAACCTAGTGGACACAGCAACCTTCACTCATGTATTCATTCATTTAGTAAATATTTTTTCAGTGCCCAGGCTTGGCACTGAGCTTCAGGGATATAAGTAGTTGGCAAAAAAACAGTCACAGCCTCTGACCTCATGGAGATGAAAATTTAGTTTGGACAGGTTTTTCCACCACTGTGGGTGGCCGACATTGATTGAACTTACCTTTTTTTCATTCGATACTCGATAAAATCTGGCTCAAACTCAATGTAAATGTCACACTCCAAGCATTGAAAGCAGTTGCTTTATCTCCTTAGAATACTTCCTAATAGATGTTCTGCTGGAGTACATGAGGGAGCAGACACGAGCACACTGATTAGCTACCAGCATGGTCCACCAGTTGGAGCTGAAGTCTGCAGCGAAATTCCCTCTTGCTTGGGGGAGGTCCGTCTTTGGTTCTATTCAGGCCTTCAGCTGATTGGATGAGGCCCACCCAGTGTATGGAGGACAGTCTGCTTTACTCAAAGTTCACCAATTTACGTGGAAATCTCATCCAAAATCACCCACACAGAAACATCACATTTAATATATCCTCCAAATGACAAACTACATCTTTACACCTGAATTAAATAATGAAATATTTCAGATCAAATACATTTTGAAAATTTAAGAATTTAAGTACATATTACATGACTATGACGTGCATGGCTCTTTGCTTGATACTGGCCTCACACAGATGAATGACATAGACAGATTTCCCATATTCATAGAACTTAGTTTGATGGTAAAATAAACATATTCATGAGATCATATGGTTTTTATATGCAACATGAAAAGAAACAATTGAAATTTTCTCCACTCAGTGTCATAGGTACACATTTATGAAACTGATTTCTTCTTTTATTCACAATGCTTATCCTATAACTGTTCCATCAGCTTCCCTGACCTTTTTTAACAGATATATCTGCAAAGACCACAGCTGTGTTATCAGGACCTCAACACTGTCCCTCGTTAATTTGGATGAGTTACTGTAATGCTCAGAGCCTCTGTGTCTTCATTTCTAAAGTGAGTATGAAAATTTCTGTGTTGTCACAATGGAATGGTAATGTGATTGACAGAGAGACACAAGGTTTTAGTGGCAAATGGAAAGGAAATTTACAGCAACGGGAAAAACAGAGAATAGTTACAGAAAGCAAGGGTTTACACAGTGAGGTTTCAGAGACCAGGATGGCTTCTCGTATTGCCCCACATTCCAATGAGATTATGCAGCTTCGGATGTGCTGCCTGAGTGGAGTGAGGATCCTGCTAGCTGGGAGAAACTTGCTTTGCCATTTTCAAGAGTGTTTTAATACCCTATTACTGGTATCAGTCAGGCTGTCCTGGGGACTCTGGCTATATGCCTGCCTCCTGACTAGGTGCAAATAACTAGCACAAAACAAAATTAGCACCTTCCTGAGTGTTTACATGGAGGTGGGATGAAGCGAGATTCTATCACCCATGATCAGGCTTCAGCAGGCCTGGGCTTCAAGCTCTAGGAGGGTCCCTACTGCAAACAATTAGCTCACAAAGATTCGATATGGAAACGTTTAAAGCACCCGGCCCATGATGGGCACCCAATCAATTAAAAACTAGAATTCCGTGACATGAATAATATTGGTCATATTACTATATTACTAAAACGACAAGAAAAGATAATATTCTATGAGCTGGGTTCTCTTTATTGCTAAAGTCACTCCTAACAGCAAGTTATTATTGTTATTTTTATCATTATTTGTTATTCGGTATATTATTATTTAATATACTATACTTAGAGTATATTCGGATTTTTCATATTCCCAACCTCATACATTTTACTATATCCCAAGTTTCCTAAAAAAGCAATACTTCATCTTTGAATGTAACTAATACTGGTGGTTACATAATATTTTTCTCAGGAACAACAGTGTGTATGCTTAAAGATGATTATTCAAATATTTAATTGGTTTTAGTCAGAATGAGCTTTCTCTTGATTTTCTTCATGTTAAGAATAGCAAACTATACTATTTTTGAATGCAAATCATATGTTTTAAAATGCCATTCAGTTGCCTTACATTACAAATGAAAACATGCAAAACTTGTGATTGTGTTTTTATATATACGGTTTTAATACTTTTTTTAAAATAAATTTATTTTATTTATTTTATTTTTTGGCTGCATGGGGTCTTCGTTGCTGTGTGCGGGCTCTCTCTAGTTGTGGTGAGCGGGGGCCACTCTTCTTTGCAGTGCACGGGCTTCTCACTGCGGTGGCTTCTCTTGTTGCAGAGCACAGGCTCCAGGTGCACAGGCTTCAGTAGTTGTGGCTTGCAGGTTCCAGAGCGCAGTCCAGTAGTTGTGGCACATGGGCCCAGCGGCTCCGTGGCATGTGGGATCCTCCCAGACCAGGGCTCAGAACCCGTGTCCTCTGCATTGGCAGGTGGACTCCCAACCACTGCGCCACCAGGGAAGCCCAATACTTTCTTTATATAGGATACCATATTTATGTTTTCCACAATCTAGATATAAAACCACTTTATATTCAACTCCAATTATTCTTACAACATGAAGAAACTGTTAATAAGGACTGCTGTCTGTCAGTAAAATTAAGAAATGATTAAAGTATAGAGTATGAATGCAAACTTCATCATGCCACACCGCTCAAATAGCATGACACCTCACGCAAACACATACCATCATGTACACACACACACACCTGAAATACTCCGTTGACTTTATATATGTGTCGGGATAGAGTCAAAACCCTTTACCATGCCTATGAGGTCTTTCATGATCCGGCTCCATCACTGCTCTTTAGCCCCACTGCATTCTGCAATTCCTTGACACTCTCTGCTTTAGCCACAGTGACCTCCTTTCAGTCTCTCAACTGATCATACCCTCTCCTGCCACCATACCTTTAAGACATGGATGTTCTTCTACCTGGTGCATCCTCCCTTCCCCTGTTGAGTAGTTAACTTCTAAGAATTCTTCAGAACCTCTTTATAGAAGTTCTCTTTGACCTTCAGGATTTCATAGAGTCTAAGCATCACATAGCTCACCATCAAATTTGTCTCCACTGCAATTTCACATTTGCTTGTGCAAGCACTTTCTGTGCCAGCTTCCCCATCCCCATTAGACCCTGGGGTTTGTAGGGGAGAGTCCTTGTCCGTTTCTGCTCACCATTACATTCCCCCAGAGCCCAGCACTGTGCTTTGGAGAAGCTTGATAAATATTTGTAGAAAGGGTGAAAGGTGAATATAAGCCGTGTGTGAAAGCATGTAATGTTGGCCAAATTTCCAGCTCATATGTTAGTGCAACTGAACATCAGAAGACATAATAGATGGTTTAATTTATCTCTTTGGAGTATTGAAATGTAAAGATTTCAGTGAATGAAGTGTGATTCGTTCCTGCCTCTGCCTTTGATCCCTTAGGGAATCATTTGCCGAGTGCCTTTGATGAAAATATTTGCATTTTGCTTAATTTTTGTTTGTTTTCTTGTTGTCCTCGGGGGAGCGGAATGCCTGTCTGACTCCCCCTGACAGATCAGCTATGGCAGGTCTGCTGTTATAGAAAATTCTCCACCCCAAAGGCTGTAGATCTCCTGCAGGGAAGACTGAGCAAATGCTGTCATTAGCAGCCATGCAGTGCTGAAGACATGCAGTGAGAAAATATGTCAGGCATTGTTTCAACGTACAGGTTTTAGCAGAAAACCATGAAGAATTTTCAGGATATTGATTACAGATTAAAACAACAATAGCCTTTAACTTAAATCCTGAGAGTTCCTCTTGTCATTTTTATTTTCTTATTTTTGTTGTCAATTAAAAAAAATTCATGCATTTGCCCCCATATTTTTTAGGGAAAGATGCTTTCATCAGAGAATATTTTAGCTCTACTATTTCACTTCACTTTTTACATAGTCTATTTCATATTTCTTGTTTTAAAATCATCAAAAGAAACCTTCCCTAAAGCTAGGACAATAGGCATATAGAGCTTCCTGAGATAAGATCTCTTTTTTCTTTTTTTTTTTTAAATGTACGTGTAAGCACACTGCACTGTTTTGGGCATAACCGTCAGTGAATATTTGTTGAATTAGTAAGCACTTAAAATAGTGACATAATCTGTACACTTCTCCTCTAATAAATCATTCTGAGAAACAGTAACATTTCATTTCATTTGGTCAAGACAAAAATGTCTTTTACTATTCAAAACTATCAACTAGAGTAATAATCCTTTGCTCTGTATGGGGCAACAAAGTTGGGTGAATGGACTGATTTGACCAAGAATGAATTCCCTTGAAAATAACAGTAATGAGAATAATAGTCAAGATTGAAAGCAGATTGTTGATGGGGTACTTCTGAGATAATTGTCTTCAAGATCTTTTCTTTCAGGTTGTTATACTTCAGGGTGTATCTATGCTTCGTTGATAATTAAAGAAGGACTTGAAAGGAATTAAAACATTAGAGGTTCAAGTGTAAGACATAGTAAGAAAGGAGCCACAGAATGATTACTGAATACACTGGCATCTAAATAAATAGTTATAATAGAAATTCTCTTATCTGATGAGTAGAACCTGTTGTTGGTTACATCACTGAAAAGCAGTGAATGTGAGGAAGCATTAAAAAGTGATTAATACATACCTTAAATATTGTATTTTAATCTAAAACATACAAATTTATTGTTTAGTCACCAATCTTTTGAGATGAGGCCAAGAATTTGAGTGGTGTCTTCTGATTGAAGGTCCTCATCTTCTTTTTTACACAAACCACACCCATAATGCATCATTCACATTTCCAGTTTGAGTTTCATCATAGTAGAAAAAGAAGTTAACACTTGTAAAGCAATCTAAAAGTGTAAGCATTTTAAGTTTTTATCATAATATTTTACAGTTGTCTCACTCGCACTTAATTTAACAGCATTTTAATCAATTCTTTATAAAATATTCAAAGAAACATCCTTATTTCATAGAAACATCTCATCAATTTTTATATAATGTTAATTTATGTAATTACAGTGACAAGAACAACTGGCTTTCACAGGGAAAGAAACAAGCACAACTGATTTTGACTTTGGTAAGCAACATAGGTCAAGGAGCAAGAAGAGAGCAGGGCTTCCCTGGTGGCGCAGTGGTTGAGAGTCCGCTTGCCGATGCAGGGGACACGGGTTCATGCCCTGGTCTGGGAAGATCCCACATGCCGTGGAGCAGCTAGGCCCGTGAGCCATGGCCGCTGAGCCTGCGCGTCCGGAGCCTGTGCTCCGCAACGGGGAGAAGCCACAACAGTGAGAGGCCCGCAAAAAAAAAAAAAAAAAAAAAAAAAAAAAAAGAAGAGAGCAGAAGAGCCCAGGTTACCTAGAGGATAGTCTATCAGCGATTGGACAGGTCATCTGCAGCCTGTGTTTTACAGGTGGAATGAAGAGCATTAGTGAATCCAACTTTGGTTAATTCTAATCAAACAATTTTCTTTTAAAAAATTACTTTTCCTTACTTTAAAGATAACATTAATTATAGAAATTTTTAAAAATATGAAAATAAAACCCACACAAACACAATGCACCACTTGGAAAATCACTATAAATATTTTCCATCATTTCTTCAGTCATTCTAAATCCATAAAGTTCTTTTATGCAGGGATCACATACAATACATTAGGTTTTAAAAATAGTCCATGTTTTTAGCTAATAGTTCATGTATGAATATACCCTAAGATATAACAATATGTACTTATAATGAGCCTGTCATAACTCATAAATATTAGTAGTGATGTTGGACCTAAAATCAGAGTTTCTAGATTTCCTTCTCTTCCATAAACACCCTATACAAAAGAAAGATTTTTCATAAACAATATAAAGGATGTGAATCACTAATATGAAAATTATATAAACATTTAAAACACTTATTACTTTTTTGAGTATTATATTCTTTAAACAGTGCCTTAACCATTTACAAATGAAGATACATGGGTAACATTAGAGACACTCCCAAGATTACCCTGCTAGGTAATTAATGGTAGAGTCAGAATTAAAACCCAGATCTCTTCTCCATATTGTAATATCTATTGGTACCTGTGAAAAGTCTAGTCTTCATGATCTAGGTGAACAGTATGCTGTAATGGTCTGAGGGTATTTATTTTCCTAAATGTACTTTCCTCCAATAAAATGGCAGATTTCTAATACCTTTAACTATATTTCCCATTAATAATTAAAAATTATAGCAATTTTATAAGCAGTTACAGAACAGCAATAAAATATCTTCAAAAAACAAAACTCTGAACTGCTTTTTCAAAACGGTACCTGAAATTAAAAGAATTTCAAACTTGTTAGAAGTAAAAGCACCCTGTGTTATTGGCTCCAAAGTCTGGTACATAATTCTGAAGCCCAGTTTTAGACTGCAGACAACTCCAAATTAAGAACTACCTCGGCTCAGCTCACTTCATCACGCACCTAGCACAGCGCCACATAAAATGGTGCATACTTGTTGGTTGACTGACTGCCTCCAGTCATTTTTTTTCTTTAATAGAATCTCCAAGTCTTTTTAAAATGTTGTATGTATTTTATTTCTCTTCATCTTGAGCCTGGAAAGAAGAAATGCTTTCTCCACACACCTCCCGTATTCGGTGCCAGAGTCAGGTAGAACTGTTGTCCTGAGCTAAGGACCTGGGACAATTAAATCGTGTGGTTGTATTTCCTGCAAAAGTGTGTGTAACTGGTGGTGAGACAAACAAGTGGCCCTTGTAAGAACTTCAATCTCTTCATTGATACTCAAGCAACTAAAACAACTCGGTCCAACAGTTACCGAGGACCTGCTGCAGGTCAAGGTGTGCTTTGAATTTACATACATTCCCTTTTCAATCATTACAGCAACCTTGCAAGTCAACGAAGTGATCACCCCTGACTTTTCCTGGTCAGAACTCCTTCTCATATCGGGAAATGCCCCCATAATTCTTCTGTGAACTCCCTTCTCTGCCTAACATAACTTGCAGGTGTCTGTGGAAGCTGTTCATTTCAGTTTTGTGCATGCTCTCTGACCACATCTGAGAGATCCAGGTATGATTATCCAACCATGTTGGGTCCTTTCCTCAGATATTGGAACTAGAAAAAGGAAGTTAATATCTTTCTCCCTCTAATGATTGAACTCTTTAATGTGTAAATGTGTAAGGTGTTGGCAGGTGTATTTTATCGTATGTTTGAGGTGACAAAAGAGCTGGAATGCTGGAAGAAAGAAAAAATGGCAACCGGCAGAAAGAAGCAGAGACAAAGGATGGATCAAGGTTCGGATTAGTTCCCTGTGCCTCCATTCACTCCCATCCCGTCCTCAGGGCATTCTGTAAGGCCTCCTTGCAGGGATGTGCCCTTTGAAAATGTCTGGTTCTCAAGTCCATTCATAATACCTCCCTTTATTGCCTCTCTGACCTGTCTCTCCCCATTTCTACCTTCAACTGAATTCCCAGCCACACTGTACTACTGACAATATTTTAAGTCTATCACGTTGAGTTTTAGTTCTGCCCTAGTTTTCCCTGGATGTCCAACCCTCCCCTCCTGCCCTGCCTTCCCTACCTCTCCAACATTCATCTGCAGGTTTACAACTTTCTTCTTCAAGGGCATCAACTCTGACCCCTCCTCCAGTCAGAGTAAAACACCTTTTTATGTTTTCCTAAGCAACCCTCACTTTGCCTGTTTTAGAGCTAACTTTGTCATCGTATACTCTAATTAAATGCTAACGTACTTGACTGGACTCTCTGTTACAGTGTGAGCTCCTCGAAGATACAGATCATAACTGTTTTTGTTTTTCTCACCGCTATACATCTAGCACACATAGCACTGTTCCCGGCACAGAGCAGGTAAGCAAAAAGTATCTTGGAATAAATAAAAGATTAATATATATTTTAATATCACAGAGTAAGGAGATCTCTAAGTCAAATATTCCTAAGTATTGTGATTGAGCACTCTTTAAAAACTAAAACTGGTGTTAAGCTCTTTTTTTTTTTATGCGGTACGTGGGCCTCTCACTGTTGTGGCCTCTCCCGTTGCGGAGCACAGGCTCCGGACACGCAGGCTCAGCGGCCATGGCTCACAGGCCCAGCCGCTCCGCGGCATGTGGGATCTTCCCGGACCGGGGCACGAACCCGCGTCCCCTGCATCGGCAGGCGGACTCTCAACCACTGCACCACCAGGGAAGCCCTTAAGCTCTTTTTTAAGAACTAAAATTCTCATACACTGTTCCTAGCAACACTGAAACACTTGTTCTATACACTTCCTTCTTTTTCTCTTCTCCCCATCTTGGCTGGAGTCAGTCCCTCTGCTTACAACATGGTTTCTTCCTCCTACACTTCAGTAACTAACACCCACCCTCCTGCCCTATTACCTTCCATCTCCTTCAGGAAGCCTCTCCGAACCACTGACTGGTGGAACTTCCTCTTCACTCTCAAAGAACTTGGTTTTTAGTTCAAATTCGATTTCTCCCGCACTGCATGACATAGGGCAAGTAACTCACACACTTCGGTCTGTTTCCTTATTTCTAAAATGAAGGGGTTGAACTTGATTAATCATCTTTAATTTCTTTTTTAGCAGCCAAATTCTCTTAGTTTATACATGAAATTCCTTTATGAAGTCCAATCTATCCATTAATGGAAGTCTTGTCAGAGAGTGAATGTATCTTCTCTCCAGTGAGCTAAGAATCATCTTGGAATCATGGGAACTACCCCAGCCTACATTGCCTAAAAGAGGCCACCCTTGTGATCACCAGAGGGTGCCTCTCTCAGAAGGTAGACCACTGCAAGGGGCCTTGGTCATATTATCACTTAAACATCCTCTCTCTGATGCAAGAGGAGATAATCAGCTTCTTTCTTATCTGCAAGTGGAAATGAAAGCCTTCCCTTCTCCTAAAAGCGATGCTCAGGGAAGGAGATTGAGTTCATAAAGGGGTGAACATGAAGCCAGTCCTGAAAAAGCACTCTGTGGACCAGCTGGGGCCCTGGAAGTAGCTGTGCATGGGAACCAGAAAATGCAAACACTAAAGAACCAGTAGTCTCAAGTATCCAAATTTGATTACCTTGAGCCACATTTTAACATTTTGTTAACTTGACCATTCAAAATTTCTGTCATCAGACCAATTTGTTGTAGTAATAATACCCAGTCCCACTCTCTCCATACACTAGGTTAAAAATAAATATAAAGCAGATCTCCTTCTAAAACAAGTGAACACAAATCAGAAAGTTTATACTGGAAAAGACCATGGTTTCCACTTCGTTGACCAATCTTTGCAGTAGAGTTTTATGACTGTCACAAAGTAAACATTGTTTCGGCACCATGTATATTTCATATACTAATCAAGAAAATAATGGCTAAAAGTGCCAAGACTCAAGGCTTAGATGAGTCCATTGGATCGATTTCTTTGCTGAAGCTAAAATTTAATAGCTTGCCAAGAGAGCCAATCAATGATGCATTCTTTTTAAAAATAATTCTATCTCAGTGTTTCACTTTTCATATAGAAATGCATGCTCTTCCTTACTGGCTTTGTAAAGAAAAATTACATTCTAGTGAATTTGCTAAAAATTCAAATTTACTAGTATTTTAAAATTTTAAAGAAAGACCATGCTTCTGTGGTTTAGCTTGACTGGCTTTTATACTTGAATATCATTCAGTATCAACATTACACAGAATATTGCTTGGTCAGAGATGGAGCAAAAGTAGAATAGGATGATTTGTTTAGGAGAGTCTTAGAAGGAGTCTTATTGATACAAAATACAGCTTGGATCCAAATAATGGAAGAAGGAAGTAAAATAAGTACCTTTATAATATCACATTTTCTTTGGGTAACTTGAAAAGTTCTGCCTACTGTGGTTATTTACAGGATTTAAAACCAATGTGGGGCTTCCCTGGTGGTGCAGTGGTTGAGAGTCCGCCTGCCGACGCAGGGGACACAGGCTCGTGCCCCGGTCCGGGAGGATCCCACATGCCGCAGAGCGGCTGGGCCCGTGAGCCATGGCCGCTGGGCCTGCGCGTCTGGAGCCTGTGCTCCGCAACGGGAGAGGCCACAACAGCAAGAGGCCCGCGTACCGCAAAACAACAACAACAAAAAAAAAAAAAAAAAAGAAAAAGAAAAACTAATGTGATGTAACTGCTAGGGAAAATGTATTATTTGAGAAGTTATGAAGGACAAAAGCCCGAGGTGGTCTGGTCTCCTGCTATATCATATTGACTCAGTGCCAACCAAGTACCTTTGCTTCTCAATGCATTTTCATCAAAAGATGGGGCTGCATTTCACAGAGAATTTACCTCTAAAGAGCTGAGAAAGGTTAGAATGTTTATGTATATGTCAGTGAATCTTCAATTTTACCCTTTGTTACATTCAATTTTCTTTTTTTTTTTTTAATTTTATTTATTTTTGGCTGCGTTGGGTCTTTGTTGCTGCACGTGGGCTTTCTCTAGTTGTGGCGAGCGGGGGCTACTCTTCATTGTGGTGCACGGGCTTCTTATTGCGGTGGCTTCTCTTGCTGCGGAGCACGGGCTCTAGGCACGCAGGCTTCAGTAGTTGCAGCATGCGGGCTCAGTAGTTGCAGTGCGTGGGCTCAGTAGTTGTGGTGCACGAGCTTAATTGCTCCGTGGCATGTGGGATCTTCCCAGACCAGGGATCGAACCCGTATCCCCTTCATTGGCAGGAGGATTCTTAACCACTGCGCCACCAGGGAAGTCGTCAAATTTCTTTCCAATTAAAAAAAAAGACTTGATTATGCAATATAGTGTAGTTTTCTAAACATTTTATGTATCCCAACAGCTACATTTTCTTCTGTCATAGTTAAAGGACTATTTTAATTATTGTTGATTCATTAAAAAATTTAAATACTTTAACATTGATATTTGATTTTTAAGATAGACATGATCATGTTGGTGTTTTATCCCAAACAATACCATATTTCCCATTAACTAATTCTAGTTGAGCTCTCATATGTGGCATGGGGAGGGGATGAAGCAGGTAGTCAGTAGAGGCTTTTAAACTAACAATTTGCAATTTAGGGACAGAGAGAGTTTGCAACCACAAACTGTTTGTAAAAAGAGGTATTTTGAATCTCAGAACATACTAATCTGTTGGTTGCATGTTACAATTTCTTTTAGAAAGTGGTCCCTTTGAATTCTATGAAGCCAAACAAAAGGAAAGAAAAATTACTTGAAAAGTGAATTGGGTGCTGGGTAAAACTTCTTCCCTTGTTCAGTGATGTATCTTAGAACCTGAAATAGTAATTTCTCTTATTTTGTCATGCGCCTTATTTCAGCACACCAAACACTAAATGAAGTGTAATAGACTGTATAGAAATGCCAAGACAGGTAACAATTTACATGTTCTCTTTTGTATATAAAGTCAATATTATATATTATAAACCCTGTGGGATGCTGACACAGAAAAATCCATGTTCAAATCAGTTCTTGTACAGATAAATTACCTCTGATGTAAACTAGACAGTGATTAGCCAACATCTTTTCTGATCTATTTTTCTAAAACAGAAACTACAGAAATAGATAAATTGTGACTATTCCAATTTTTAAAATTATAGTTACATATGAGATAAGCTTTGAGAAAAGATTTGAAAGACTTGTTTTTCTTTTGCAGTGAATGCTTTCTAACTTTTCTTATATAATAAGCCCACTTTAGACTCTTATGTATAAAGCATGATCTCTTTCAAGGCTTTCATGTTCTTGATGGCATTTAAATGTTGCTAATAGTAACAAATAGTTGAACTACTAAAAACAGCAATACAAATATTGTACATTTGTAAAGTCTTTTCATATCTGTGTAACCATCATAACAACTTGGGTGGGCAGAGCTGAGAGGAGATATGGGTAGCCTTGTCTTACAGGTAAGAAAATTGTGTTTCCCAAAAGATAAATGATTGACATTGTCCCAGACTCCAACAGGGTGGCTGGAGGTGTCTGCAATTTTATTCATGGTCACAATAAGTCTTAAGGAACCAGAGCATGGCACATCCAAGCTGGAAGGCATCATTGTTCAGGTTAAGGAGGGAGCTACTTATGAATAAGAGGGTATTGTTTCAGACAGGCACGGACAGCCCCTCCACCAGGATTTTCCTAAACCTCTCTCCAAGCTGGCTACCTCAGTGCTTCAGCTTACCACTTGGAGAATGATGCCCAACTCAAGCCAATTACATATTTTTCGTTGTATTTTCTCCTGTCTCTCTAGATAGTCTTTTTTTTTTTTTTCCATTTCAAAATGTGTAAGGAAATAGAGAGTAAGAGAAGAGAGTAATGGATGGGGAAAGGTTGTCCTTTTAAAAGGATGGTCAGTGAAAGCCTTTCTAATAAGGCGATTTTTGAGTACTTACAAACATATATCCAGTAATCCCAAAGAAAATCCTGACAAATTGAATTCAACACCACCTGTTTTTAAAAAAATACTGTAGCATACAATAAGGCTTATCCCTAGGAATGCTAGGCTAGCTTAACATTCAGACATTTTTTAAATAATTTATGAAATTGAGATATTTAAGGACATGGATCACCTCTTTTAGTCAGCACTGTACTGGAAGTACTTAACAATGAAATAAGACAAGGAAAACAAATGGTTGTTGTAAAGAAATAAATTTGGCGTTATTTGTAGATTAGTTAAGTCTACATATAAAATTTAAAGTTATTAACAAATTTGAGAGCTACCATATGTACCTTACCAGATATTAAGACTTATATAACTGCAGAAATAAAAATAGCATGATGTTGGTACAGGGATAGCCAAATAGACCAGTGTAACCAATGAATAGAACAGAAAACAGGAAAGCGTACGTAAACTTATGTGGGAGTTCAATAAAATAAGAGAACTGTCATCACAAATGGTAGGAATGGTTGGGCTAGTCAATAAATGGTGATGAAAAAAAATTGACAACCCATATAGGTAAAAATAAAATTATATCTATTTCTTCATATTATATATAAAATATATTTCATATTAAAGACCTCAATATGAACACTAAATATTTAAAACTTTG